TCTCGCACAAAAAACGCCATCGTCTTACCGGGTAAGTTATAGAGAAAGTAAACAAGTTTTTCTACCTGGGTGGCTGTATCTAACCTGGCGGACTCATCACAGATGAAGTGTCGGCGCGCATACAGAAAGCTCGGTTGGCATTTGCCAAAATGAGACGTCTGTGGCGCCGTCGCGACATCCGGTTGACTGTGAATGGTCGAGTGTATGCTGCAGCAGTTCGGCCAGTTCTGCTGGCATGAGGGTATAAAAACCCTAGCCAGGAGATTGGCTCACATAGGTCCCGTAAGGCTCGCTGGATGGGGATCCAGGGTTCATGGTCACTGGTGGTTGGATACGTTGAGCGATACGGCTGGGAGTCGCAAACAGTGGCGCACATGCACCTAATCATTATTCTTGTAACTTCAGTCTATCAAAATGTGCTACCTTCCGTTTGAATCTGCTCTCAACATTCCAATCATCATCCTGCTCTTTTATCCAAATGGGCGATCAAAACTGGCACACGAAAAGGCATGGTTAATGGTTGTAAGAACTAAACTGAACATCCAGGTGGCTGAATCAGACATTTTCAAAACAGCAGTAACAACCCCATTTGGTGTGTTTGAATTTTTACGAATGCCCTTTGGTTTCCATAACGCAGCACAAACATTTCAACGTTTTACGGATCAATTAACTCGAGGTCTTGATTTTGGTTTGTTTACTTGGATGACATTTCATTAGCTAGCAGTTCACCTGAAGAGCACAGCTCCCACTTGCACATTATATTTTCACAGTTTAGACATTATGGTTTCATATTGAACCCATCTATGCCATGAGATCAGTTCCCGAGGCATTCTAACGTTACAGCCATTTAGGACCTCCCAGTCCAACTTCTGTCAAAAACAATTTAAATCGTTTTTTTGATCAATTCTTATCGTCATTTTATCCCCAATTGTTCCGCTATTCTTTATCATCTTACACATTTGCTTCGCGGTAACGTGAAAACATTTCCTACACTCCTGAGGCGCCAAATCAGCCCTCCAGGACGCCGCAGTGTTGTTCCACCTCAACTCATCTCCATGGACCCAACTGGTAATGCGCAGCGATGTGTCGAATCATGCCATTGTAGCGGCAATTCACCAGGTAGTCACAAATGTCCAGCAGCCCTTGGCTTTCTATTCACAGAAGCTCTCTCCATCCCAAACTTACTGCAACAACTTTGGTCGCGAACTGCTGACAGTATACTCCGCCATTCGACATTTTAGCCACATCCTCGAAGGTCGCTAATTCACCATCGTGACTGACGACAAACCACAGATGTTTGTTATCTGTACCCGTTCTGATCGCTACTGTCTGCGCGAAATTCGTCACTTAGATTTCATCTCTCAATTTTTACACCGATCTCCGACAATTATCGTTTCGGACAACACCATCGCAGACGCTCTCCCTCGGCTCAACATCAACAGTATGGTTACACCATCCGATATCAGCCTCGAGATCATTTCTCAACATCAATCCAGTGACCCTCATTTCGCAGATCTCCTCAAATCCCCCTCACTACCTTGCACAAAAGTCCCTCTTCCACATTTACCATCTACCGTGTTCTATGATACTTCCTCTGGACACCCCCGACCCATTTTACCGTTTATTATGCCTCAACTCATTTTTAGGCATTTTCATTCATTTCGCATCCCAGGGTTTGTTCTACGTTACGCCGATCGTTACGTTTGAAACAGCACAAACAAGGATGCCCGACGTTGGACACAATCTTGTCTTTAATGCCAACAAAATAAGGTTTACAACCACATTGTTTCGTCCCCAGGTTTGTTCCGCGTTCCAGAGACTAGTTTTTCTCAAGTCAAGTCAAAGTCGTTTTATTCATCCTAATGGATGGATTCTCAGCTTCATGCACCTCAGGAACATTTATCGTCGCATACAGTCACAACAAAGGTGAAAAAACAGCATCAGTAATTCAAGGGACTGTGGATCAAAGGTTTGAAAATGAATATCAATGGCGTAGGCAATTCGAGAAGTTTTCTCTAACAGATGCCTTTTGAGCCAGAAAGCTCGAAAGATAGGGGATGACGGACAAACGATAAGCAGTGGTACGAACATACACCAGTTTATAACGACATCTTGTTACAGAAGTAGATATGCATTGTTTAAGTTCTGTGTGTAATGGGTGAGTGGTGTATGATAGAACATTGTTACAGAAGTTATCTCAAGGGGTAAAATGTTTATCGGCGATAAAGTTAAAAAAGTTCAAATAAGGAATACCGCTTGTGCAAGAAATAATTTTAATAGACCGGCGTAGAATTATATATTCTTTAGTTCTGAAACCGGCAAATGAAACCGGGGAGCAGTAGAGGAGATGAGTAACAACACAAGAATATACTAATCGAGTGAGTAAATACAGTGGAACTTTTAAAGAACGCAAGCGGGTAATAAGGAAACACGACCGTCGAATCTTTACAAAAGCAGAGGTTAAATGTGAGGTCCAGGTGAGATCTCGGCGGATAGTGACACCGGGGTCTTGTAGAGAGTTTACTAGCGGAACAGGCTGATTGCTAACATAGAGTGCAGAATAATTTCTTTCAGAAGAATGTAGCCGTTCTCCTNNNAAAGGTGACATCGATACATTTCGATACATTGAGAGATAACTTGGAAGACAAAGTCCATAAGTTTGAGTCAACTAAACTAATTTGAAGATGTGAGAGGCGGAAATCACCTTACATTTTGTAACCAATGGTGACATCATAAGCGTACTTAATGGGAAGTTACTTTGGGTTAGTGGGAAGGTTTCGACTATAGAAAGATAAAAGAAAAGGGGGACAGAATTGCTCCCCGGAGCACCCCTGAGTTGACTGGCAGGGATTCAGAGGTTTTTCCAAGAAAATTTCTGAATTGTGTTCTGCCAGCAAAATATTCTAGGTGTAGAGAGAGGGTAAAATTGGGCAATCCAGCACCTTGGAGTAGAGACAAAAGCCTGCTCCTGTCAACACAGTTAAAAGCGTTACAATAGTCAAGGAAACACACAAAATGCCGTGCATGTCTAGGGATCGCAAAACTGAGTTTTACCAAGTGAGCGAGAACCTCTAAGGTAGAACGTTGTTTGCGATAAGCGAATTGGTTTTCATCTGGCTGCCCAGTATTGGGAATAATGTTACTGAGCATAAACTTTTCGAAAATGTTTAGTTAGGAATAGGAATGTAGTGGTCAGAGGAGTACCGAAACCACTTTGTCAAAGTATGAGCAGCAGAACCCAACACATCAGAGGANTCTCGCACTGCTACGGATCGCTGACATACCTGGAGAAACACATATAAAAAGGATCTTTCGTTTGGGAAAATGGAAGGGGAATGATGAAAATGCTAGGCCTAGACCGGTGCTGGTAGAGTTTGCAAGCTCGACCATGAGAGACCTACTGCTAGCTGCCGCGGAGAAAGTCAAGATTGCGTCCGATAACAGGACACTCGTTGAGCCGGATATGTCAACGATGTCCCCATATGTATTTCCCAAAACGTATCACACTAGCACTGCGAGACCTATTGTAAGGATTGAACAATTGCTGTGCGCGAGCACAGCATGCAGCTCCCCGGGCCAAAAACAGTTCCCAGTCAATAAGAATGAACTGGCAAAACCA